AGTTTTTCTTCATTACCCATTCAAGCCGTCTCCAGCCATTATTATCATTAATTAATAGGTAAACTGGTGTATCTTTAGAATGTTTTTAATAGCTGGTAGAGATATTGTGAATAAGTAAAAGAGCGTCATTGAATGATGTAGTTACATACATCATAAATAATCGTTTAACATTCAGTTATTCACTCCAAAGTGCCACGTGAATGAACACGTAAAACAACTTTCTACTGCTTTTTTGAGTAAATAATGAAATAACTTTTGTGGGCGTTTTGTACTATGAGTGGATAGTTGGGTATTAAATTTCTATTGAATACTTAAGTACCTTCTTAAACACATTTATGCTCAACCAATTAGAATATTAACTTTAAATATTGTTATTCGCTCTTGCACCAGTGGGTAGATATTACGATGTCTTTATTCTACATTAAGTACCACACGAGTAGATATTTTAAACGTTATGTGTATCGTGGGAAGTCCTTCTTTTAGAACATACATTTTTAATATATTTCATTTAAGCCATCTGCGTTGATGACAAACACGCACGTGTAAGTTATCGAATATGTAACTGAATAGTTTTACTGCTGCATACTCTCATAGAGTAGTATAAAAGGTATACTAAAAATTATTGACAAAGAACATTCTCATAAAAATGTACTTTCCTGTCCTTCATCACTTTATGACACTTCCCTGTGACATAAAAATAAGAAGAGGTAATTAGTACTGATACGGGTAACCGTCAATTGTCTGTCTTTTTTTATACGTAAGCTACATAATAGGCTACCTTTATTATGTTCATCGCGGGAAATCGAGCCCCAGATTCTAGCGTCACAATCCCTATAATTACTACGTTTACATTTCAATAGTTTCTTACCTCATATATATTACTTAAGTTAAACTTGAAGTTCTTGTGTACGTATGTATGTTTTTACGTGAAAAACATGCGTGATCTAATAATGTAAAATTATAGAATATCCAAACAAATAAGTTGTTTATAATAATAATAATTTACTACTACCTGCTTCAAGAATGCCTTGTTAATGTACAACCTAATAATAATGATTACAATACAAGCTTGAAACGGCTCGCTCCCTTAGAGCGTTCCTCGGTGAACTGGAAATAGATTAGAAACTAATAATACGGTTCTTCACAAAACCACTCCCTCTATAGGTACAATGCTACTGTAATAATATGCTAAAATACTACTTATTATTATTTCACCAAAACGTTCGAATTGAACAAGTGTTTACGTGTTGTCCTTCCGTTTCTAGAGAAAACACTTTCGTCGTTTTTTTTAAAATTGCAAATCAAGACTACTATACGATGTTGAATTATAAATTTAAGTATAATTATTCATACAAAAGTATCAGTTATTGTTCGTGATTCGGGAGTATTATCCGCAAGAAACAGGTTCATTTCGCCTTTTAAATCCCAGGGAACAACAATAAAAATACTTACTACCTGGTGAATCCACAAGAACAAATACAAACCCACCTACTGAATATACGGGAAACAAACACGCCACCTATTGAATTCAAAGAAATAGATACGTATCATCTACTGAACCCCAGAAAACAAATATATGCTACCTAGTGCCTCCACAAGAACAAATACAAACCCACCTACTGAATATACGGGAAACAAACACGCCGCCTATTGAATTCAAAGAAATAGATACGTATCATCTACTGA